TCAGCTAGAGGACCAGCACCTCTTAGGAAAATGGAATTTGATGATGTAGGAACAGGTTCCAAGATCCCGAAGATTGATTCTCCGAAGAAGAAGTACCCTCCGTTCAACGTAGGAAGAGTATTTGAGCACAATGATGAAGAACTACCTGAAGCAGAACCAGGTACAGAGGACATTTTCTGGGAAGATTCATATTCGGACATTGGCGATTCCGATGAGGAACAAGACATCTTCAAGAGCGAAGATTCTGGACCTCCAGAAGTTGCAGAAGCCCAGTTGCAGGAACTGGATCGTGAGGCAATGCTCACAGAGATCAACAGACTCACCGAGATGAAGGCATTGGCAAGGAAACCCTTGCAAGAACTCGAGAGAGAAGAGGAGAGAGAGACAGAAGAAGAAGAGAGCAACCAAGGAACAAAGTGGTTGACGACGAAATTCGTCTTCGATTGGCGATTCAGGAACGGCCGATGGATGCGGAGAGCTAGGTTAGTAGCGAGAGAGTTCAAAGGAGCAGAAGTAAGGAACGACACGTTCAGCCCAGCGACGAGCGCATCATTGGTGAGACTTATTCCAATCTTAGGATTACAACAGGAACATTCCCTGTACTCCATTGATGTCAAGGACGCATTCTTGCAGGTCCCACAAAGGACGCGATGTGCATGTCAATTCCCGAAGGAATATGTGGATCTGTTTGGCGACCAGGACCCTAGTTGTAGGAACGAAGGTTTGTTACTGCTTAGAGTACTTCCAGGACAGCGAGATGCAGCACTACTATGGAGTGATCATTTTGCAGGAACCCTCAAAGAGCAGAACTTTGATAGGAGCAAAGCTTGCCCTACTTTGTTTCGTGACGACAGGAACAGCATACTTGTTGTGCATGTTGATGACATTCAGGCAGCAGGGAAAACAAGGCACCTAGAGCCCAAGCTAGGAAAGCTAGGAGAAACCTACGAACTAAAGGTTGAAGGCCCCTTTTTGACAGAGCAGGAACTTGAAGTAGGAGAGTCACACCAGACAATCCGATTCCTTAAAAGGAAATTCAGCTACCACAATCACGAGCTCCACATCACGAGTGACCCGAAGTATCTTGTGAAGCTTAAGGAAGAACTGAAGCTTACCAGCAAAGCCTCGAAGCCAACTCCGTGCACCCAAGAGTCGCAGGAACAGGACAACACTCAGACCTTGAACCAGGAACAAGCAGCATCGTTCAGGAAAAGCGTTGGCATACTCTTGTATGTCAGTCAGGACCGCCCTGACGTGCAGTTTGCCGTGAGAGGTTTGGCCTCCAAGATGTCGGAACCAACACATGGTTCTTGGAAACACTTAGTCCACCTAGTGCAGTACATGTCGAGAACTGAAGGATACCATTTAGTGTACAGGAAAACGCCTAGAGGACTCAGTAATCTCCATGAATCCATCAGGAATGGTAACTACGACTTTACAGGAATAAGGCCCAAGGAACACCACCTTTTGGAAGTCTTCAGCGATTCAGATTGGGCAGGAAAGAAGGACACAAGGCGCTCAACATCTTCAGGAATTGTTTGCCTAGACGGTCAGTGCATTTACTCCTTTTCTAGGAACCAGAAGTCGGTTAGTTTGAGCAGTGGTGAAGCAGAGTATTACGCAGGAGCGTCAGCAGCGTCAGATTCTATATTGTTGAAGGAAGCAGTAGAATTCTTGACCAGGAAACAATGCAAGGTACACTTGTACATGGATTCTTCTGCAGCTAGAGGAATTATTACAAGGCAAGGTGTAGGAAGAGTCAAGCATTTGCAGATCAGGACCCTTTTTCTTCAAGACCTCCACAAAGAAGGAACAATTAGTGTTCACCCAGTAGGAACCAAGGAGAACACAGCCGACATAGGTACCAAGCCCCTTTCAGCGAAACGTATCAGACTGTTGTTGCACTGGCTAGGTTTTCAAACCAGCGAGAACGAACCAGTAGGCAGAGAAGAGCTCAAGGAACACAAGGCCCAAACACAAGCTAAAGCAGTTGTAAGAATGATCAAGAGCCCAGGAACTTTGTCTTTTGCAGCTTTGTTGTTTGCAGGAATTTCAGGTATTTCAGACAGTCTTCAGATTCAGAGTTTCAAGGAACAGTGTCTTGAGAGTTGTTTTCAGGAAGAAGAGTTTCAGTCAGACTTTCAGGAACATGTTTTCTGTTGTGCAAGTGCATGTGAGCAGGACGGCATGTGCAGTGACACGAGTGCATGTGAGCTAGGAACGTCTGCAGGAACAGCTCATGGAACAACATGTTGTGAGATGCTTTCGCAGCTCAAGGAACTCTGCGGAACACTCGCGGAACGCTCAGGTATCCAGGAACTAGTTCGCCCGGTAGCAGAAGGTCAAGAAAACCTTCCAGGAACCTTAGCAGCCATGGAAGCAAGCGCGAGTTCGAACAAAAGCACCGAAGAAGTGTTCAAGGAACTTTCTACCTTGAGAGAGGCGGCAACCGCCTTAAGGAACGCTTCAGAAGAAAGGAACTTGATCGCGGAGTCGATCAGGAAGAACACAGAGGAAGCTGCGCGTTTGCGCAAAAGCCAGGAACACGTGGCTGGTTGTGTAGAAGCCTTGACAGGACAAATCTACGACGTCAAGCACCAGGTTCAGGAAATGGCCGAACAGAACGACAGAGACCGGCAACAGGTCAAGGAACACATGGCCTTCGTCCTAGGCACATGTGACACCGTGAAGGAACAGCTGAACCAGATGATGCAGGACTTCTACGAGCAGCAAGAGGAACAAGAAGAAGAGGAAGAAGACGAAGAAGAGCAAAGGAAAAGAGAAGCCAAGGACCGAGAACTAGAAGGTGAACTACGTCGTGAAGGACACGGACAAGGAACAGCACCGTCGAGAGCTACGTCACCTACGTCCCAGGAAAGAAAGGAATATTCGGACCGAGGCTACTTCGAGGGCATCCAGGAACGAGAGCAGGACAACGAGAACGAGAACGAGGCCTACGTCAGCAGCTACGTTGGAGGAGAAGATCCCGGGGAGTACCCCGATGAAGGAACAGCAGCAGCAGCAGAGGAAGAAGAAAGTGAGGAAGCAAAGGAAGAGAGAAGGAAGAAGAAGATCGCGGAGATCAACGCCAAAAGCAAGCAAAGACTCAAGGAAAAGGAAGAAGAGAAGAAGCTTTTTCCGTACCCCTACGACTACGCCAGCGAATGGAAGGAATACTCCGAGAACGGCGAGATCTACAGGCAACACAGAGTTACAGGAGAAAAGCAGTGGGTCGACAAGGACTACACGTACAAGCACGAGAAAGGAACAAAAGGAAAGAAGGAAGGAAAATGAAAAGGAAAGCCAAAGGCAAGAGCAGAAAGCACAGGATTTCGACCTCGAGATGAAGATGATCGCAAATACTGGGAAGAACAGGACAGGATCTCAAAGGAACAAAGAGAAGCAAAAGCAAAAGCAGAAGAGGAGAAGAAGGCAAAAGAGGAGCAGATTGCCAAAGCAAGGTTGATTCTGGAAGCGGCAGCAGACGAGCAGGAAAAGAGAGACAAGGAAGCAGCAAGGCAGGAAGCAGCCGCAGCCGCCGAGAGAAGGCGAGAGGTAGAAGCAGCAGCCAAAGCCAAAGCAGAGAGAGAAGCAAAGGAAAAAGAGGAGACCGAAGCGGCAGCAGCAAAGGAGGAAGAAGAGAAAGCAGCAGCCGCAGCAGCCAAAGAGGAAAAGGAAAGAAAGGAGCAGGAGAAGAAAAGAAAGGAGAAGGAAGCCAGGAAGAAAAGAGAGGAAGATCAAAAGGCAGCGTCAGCGTACATTGCCAAGAAGGAAGCAGAGAAGAAGGCAGCAGCAACAACAGCAACAGGATCAGGTGAAGCAGACAGGATCCAGAAGCTTGAAGAAATGATGAAGGAGATGATGAAGGAACGCAAAGAGGATAAAGAAAGGATTGCAAGCCTTACACAGGAGCTTGAGAGCAGAGGATCAGCAGCCGGGTCGCAGGCACCCACAGAACCTGACACAACACCAGCAAAGGAAGAGGAAAAGCCAGAAGCAAAAGGAACAGGAAAAGCAACAGGAAAGGAGCCACCGAACGTCACACAGCACAAGCAGAAGGAAGAAGACAAGGACGACCCAGAACTGTCCGCCAAAGGACCAGTGAACGAAGCATCGTTCATGAAAGGAAAAGGAAAAGGAGAGTTTGAAGGAAACTGGTTTGCAGTCTACAGTTTCCAGAACAGGAAATACCAGTGGAAGTGGAACGAGAAGAAGGCACAGTGGTACTGGTATTCAGGATCAAAGGAAACAGGCTGGAAAGCAGCGTCAAAGGACAAGCAAGGAAAGGAAAAGTGCAAAGCGCAAGCAAAGATGAAGGAAGAGTGGCTAAAGGAACAGCTTCAAGACCAAGAGGAAGCTAAAGACAGTGAAGAGGAAGGCAAAGTGAACTTCCAGTGAAGCAAAGGAACCGCGAGCAGTACTGAGGCCAGAGAGCCGAGGAAAGAAGCAACAGGACACAGGAACCGTGGCACAGCCCTTTTTGTTTCTGTGGTGATCTAGGTAAAGTGCAGGAACGTCTTTTGTACAGTCGAGCAACCTTGGAGAGGATTGCGAGTGAACGTGCGCATACGTTTGCAATGAGGAACAGTGTTTGTTTTGCAAGTGAAAAGGAACTGCAGCGTGTTTACTGTTTGTTCAGGAAAAGTCGGAGTCACCTCAGTCGAGGAACTTTCGCTAACTCCGAAGGCGGGGTGTTAAACATTCTGCCAGGAACAGTAACACAGCTAGTGCAGTACAGTTAATGTACAGGAACAGCCGTCACGCACACGCGACGTGCAGGCTCGAGACCCCAGGACACACCGTGCCCAGGAACAAAAGTGTCCGACAGTCTTTGTGGGTAGGAACCCTTAGTGAAGCCCGTTCTTTAACAAGTCGGTTTTCCTGATTTTAGGCCCGCTCTAGGGTTTAGTCCCCCCGGCCCTAGTGCACAGTCTAGGGGTTTGTCTTCGGTTAAAGCTTGCCCTTGGTTGTGCCTAGAGCTGTTTGCCGAAACTGGCAATATGACTTCTGCTTTGCGGAGCTTCGGGTTCCAAGCCCTTCCCTTGGGGCGCCGTGCAAAGGGGCCTATACACGTGACCCCGCTGGACCTCTCTCGCGCCCTGTCGTGGCAGTACGTGAAGAGGCTTGTACAAGCCGGGGATGTGTTTGTGGTGCATCTTTCCCCACCTGCTCGCGGCCCGTTTGCCGATGCAGTGGCACCACTCGTCGCTGACTTCTGCTGTTGGCTCCGCTCCGAATTTCCTTCTGTGCACTTCTCAGTTGTGTGTCCCGCCTCCGCGGCGCTTTGGAAACAGTCTGGCTTGCTGGATCTTCAGCGGTCTTGCATTCAGGTCTCCTTTACTGCCGCCGACTGCGGTCCCGGGCCACATGAGACCTTTCTCTTGATGTCTTCACTTCCCGAGCTTCGGGTTTTTGAAACTCCGGCCGATGCCTCAAAGATCCCCTCCGGGGGCCCGGTTCGCGCGGCTCCTGTCGCTGCGCCCTCGTTCGTGCATACGAACCACTTTTGTACTAAATTTGCATCTGCCCTCGCCCTGGCGGCCGGTCAACTTGACACTGTACCGACACCAGCCCTTGTTACCAATGCTTCAGCCCGTGCCGCCAATCAGCTCCAGCCGCGTGTTTCAAGGGCCGTCGTGCTGGTCGAGGAATACCATTATCAAGTTACCGTGCCCGCGCCTTCGGGCGCCCTGCCCTCTCTTGACCCTAAAAATTGCCTCGTGGAGGCATTAGGCCCCGTGCCTGCCGGCTCTCGGGTTCTTAGGGTTAATTTTGAGGCGGGTGTAGTTTTCCCTAAGCGCCCTAGACCCGACCGGAAGGTTTCCTCTCAGCTGTCTGACTTGGGAATCGGAAAATTGGTTTCCATCACGTGTGGAGTCTACCGAAGCCCTCTTCAGTTTGCGGAACGAGCTTTGAATGTTGGCCATCCTTGTGACATGTGCAGAGCTCTGCCCGATCAAGCTATGGTCGTCCTGGGCCATCTGCTCATCGAGGGTCCTGTTAAGGTCCTCAGACGGAGATTGGATACGATAACCCAGTGGAAAGCTTGGGCCGCCGAACTGGAACCGGCCGAGGCTGAACTGCACAAATCCTTGCCCCCTTCTGTGGCCGAAGTGGTCAAGGGAAAGCGCCTGCTCCTCCTTGATCGCATTGCCAAATCCCTGCAATGGCCTGACACCCGCTTGCACCAGGATATGACCAGTGGCTTTAAGATCGTGGGCGAGGAGTTCCCGAGCGGAATTTTCCCCCTTGAGCCTCGACCAGCGACCCTCACGCCTGAGGAGTTACTGGCTCAGTCTCGGTCAACCAAGCCCTTGATCTGGGAACAGGTCAACGATGCTCCGCTGGATGCGAACTCTCGCGAGCTTTTTGAAATCACTGAGGCTGAATACCGCGAGAAGGGATGGCTCGAGCAACCTCGCTCTTGGGAGGAACTTGAGCTCTTGTTCGGGGATTGGCTCCCGGCCAAAAGGTTTGGTGTACGCCAACGCGACAAGTTGCGCCCCATCGACGACTTAGCTGCCAACGGTGCAAACAGCGCATTTGCCGCTTGTGACAAGCTCACCTTGCGTGCCTTCGACGAGCTTGTTTGGTGTGCCACTTACATCATGCGGGTACTTGTGCAAAAAGGAACCGTCCACCTTGTCCTCTCCTGTGGTCGGGTGATCTCGGGACCCCTTCACGACTTCTGGAGGATCAAGACCGACCGTGCCCGCCCCTTGTTGAAAACTATCGACTTGAAGGCGGCGTATAAACAGCTACCGCTCCACCCAGAGCATCGCAGGTTTTGTGTGGTCGCATTGAAACATCCGGACAGCGGCCAAGTGCGGGGCTACGCATCAAGAGTCCTGCCCTTCGGGGCCTCGGGGAGCGTGACTTGCTTTAACAGGGTTGCACGCCTGATCCAACGGATTCTTCAGGAAGCCTGGATCTTGAACTGTAACTATTTTGATGATTTTCCGGTGTTGGAGTTATCCGCCCTGTCGGGGAGCGCCGACTCCACTGCTCATTGCATACTTGACCTACTCGGTTTCGAGTGCTCTACCGATAAGGAAGAGCCGTTCAAGAGCAGTGCCGACGTCTTGGGAGTCACGGTAGACCTCTCTTGTGAAGACTTGTCCGAGGTGCGTGTGCGCAACCGGGAGGTAAAGTGCTGCGAGGTGGCGGCCTCTGTCGATGAGGTTCTTGATAGGGGCGCCATCCGGTCCGCGGAAATCGCTTCTCTCTTTGGGAGGATTCAGTTTCTTGAAGGGCAACTCATGGGACGCATGGGGCGACTGGCTTTGTCTGAGCTTCGCTCCCTCGGGACTTCCGGGGGAATCCTCAAGCTCGGGGACTCGGAACGGCATGCCTTCCAGAATCTTCGTGAGCGGTTGCTTCATGGGCCGCCCCGGGCGATCTCCGCTCGCCCACCTGGGGCGAATGTTATTGTGTTTACAGACGGAGCTTGCGAACCGGAGGGTGATAGCATGCTGTGCTCCATCGGTGGGGTGCTGTATGTTGAGAGCTCCGGCAAGTGGGCCACTCGATACTTTGGCTGCCGACTGCCCGATTCGCTCGTTAAGGCTTGGAGTGCTTCTGGGAAGAAACACTTGATAGGGCCTGTTGAATTGTACGCAGTGACCACGGCAAGACTGTTGTGGCGAGAGTATCTTGATTTCGCCAAAGGCATTTTCTTCATCGACCACGCCGGTGTGCACGCCGCGTGCGTCAATGGATCGTCCCACGATCGCCTCTGGCGGCTCATCCTTTTGAAGCTTGAGGAAGCGGATGCCAAACCTATGATCGCCTGGTATGCCCGCGTTCCCAGCCAAAGCAATCCTGCAGACCCTCCGTCTAGGGGGTCCGACCTTTTCCCAGTTTGGGGCACATGCTCGAGGGATCATCCGAAGTGCTGCATATCCGGCGAGCTCTTGAGTTCGTTTGGTGAGACGGGAGTTTGTTGAACGAGCTCAATCCTCGTGAATGATGCTCGATCGGCTCTCTCTCGAGTGTCGGATCTTTCCCGAATCGGCTGTGCCGCCTTTCAAGAAAAAAAGAGTGAGTCCGATTGCATGTGCGTTCTGCAATGCTGCATTTGTCTGCGCATTTATATTCTCGTGCAATATATGTTTGATTGATTGATTTGAGAATGACTCTTTTCAATATTATATTCCTGCGAAAAGTAGCTTTAGCTATAAGCCTATTTTGAAACTTGTTTCATTCGGCTTTATAGCTCAAGCTATGTTTCAAATGCGACGTTGCTTTTGAAACTCGCTTTTCGCACAACCTTCTTTGAACCTGGGGGGGCAAACAACTGACTTTTAACCTTTTGTTTTGCCGCGAACTCTCGTCCTGATGCGAACCTTGATGTTGATCCTGTTAATGGCCTCACGTCCGGCAGTCATTTGTGGATCGAGTTCGCCATCGGGCGAGATTCGAAATTTTTGTCCCACCCAACCCACCCGGGAGTTTGTTGAACGAGCTCAATCCTCGTGAATGATGCTCGATCGGCTGTCTCTCGAGTGTCGGATCTTTCCCGAATCGGCTGTGCCGCCTTTCAAGAAAAAAAAGAGTGAGTCCGATTGCATGTGCGTTCTGCAATGCTGCATTTGTCTGCACATTTATATTCTCGTGCAATATATGTTTGATTGATTGATTTGAGAATGACTCTTTTCAATATTATATTCCTGCGAAAAGTAGCTTTAGCTATAAGCAGTGCAATCCGATATTCGTGCTAGAGCAGGCCATGCGTGAAGAAATGGCCCAACAGGAGATAAGTTATCTCCTCTGGGCCCTTAGTTGTGCCATGCGGGTAGATCCCGCGGTCGTCAGCGACGACCACGAAGCCCTCAATCGAGCAGGGGAAGGGGAATCCAAAGTTTGGCCCCCCTTCTACCCCTTTGTGCAGATGCAGGGGGAACAACCGGACACTTCAGGCAGTGCCTATCCCATGCACCGGTACACTATGTCGCAGCGCGACGTGCCTATGCGGCCAGCGGCCACACCTGGCTGGCCGTATACCGCCCTTTTCGACTGGCCCCCCAGTGGGGAGGAAGACAATGTACCCAAGCTCCAGTGGAGACTTAATTGGGTGGATGCCCTAGAGGGCCACGTGGCTGCTAAGGTTGAAGCCAGCGGCTTCCAGTGGCACCCAGAGGGTAAGGGCAAAGGCAAGGGTGGTTGGGTCAAGATTCTCCCTTCGGAGAAGAAAAAGAAAAAGACTCACAAGACTGCCAGCGGCAGTACTGACCCTACCGCCTCGTCCGACAGTGATCAGAACTCGGGAGACTCCGAGGTTTCTTTGGCTAGCAGCCAGGCCGCAACGGCAGTGCCGTTCGCGCCAAACGCAAACACTGTGGTCGTTTCCAGACCACAGCGTCGAAATCGCCAGCGGGGCTGGCAGTTTCAGCCCGGCGAGGACCCCCAGAACAATGACTGGCGTAACCTCGGGTCAGCGACCGACAGCAGGTACCCCGGCCTGCGTGCGCTAGTAGCGCACGCCAAGCGGGTCTCGCCGCACCTGCACGTCACAGACGTGCACGAATGGCCCTACTGGGCAACCCCAGACTCAGAGAGATGGGAGAAATACCCAGAGAGGCGTGGCGACCTCATGTGTTGCATGCCTTGCGCGCAGCAGGGCTGCATTTCTCAGGGCATGGCGATTTGTGGACGGCACTGCTCAGTGGGCAGGAGCCCCCACAATCATCATGAATGCGAAAACTGCTATCGCGGGGGCCGGGGTCAGCGACCCAGAAATCGCGGCGTCAGGGGCAGCCGCCGTTAGGTGCTCAAAGCAGCGCGTCGCTGCTGGCCTCTCAGAGAGTCGCCCCCTGTTGGTGCAGTGCACCTCTTTTTGGTACGTACCGCCGACAGTTCGGTAGCCTCCACAGGGCTGGCGTCTCCGAGGTAGTTGGAACGTCGCCCACAGAGGCGGGCCGACAGCATGCTTTCAATGGCGGCAAAAGATCGCCGCTAGTGTGCTTCAGTCGTGTGTCACGCGAGCCTGGTAGGTCTCTTCAGCTGTGTCAGCTCTTTCCACCGTGTCGGTTCTCAAGCAGTGCTTTCTTTCCGCAGCCTTTTCAGCTTAGTAAGTCCCCTCGTGCCCAAAACTGCCCCGCTTTCAGCGGAAGCCTCATTCTGCCATCAGAGATGGCGAATCCTTCCAATGAGCAGCTGCTGCAGGCGCTCAGCGCAGTGCCGGAGGCCCAGAGGGCCGCCCTCTACGAAGCAGCCGTCTCCCTATCAGAGATAGGGGACGTGGTGGTGAACGCGGCGGAGGCAGCGGAACTCGCCGGTTGGACGAAGCCCGCCAGTGGCGGCACAGAAGCCAACGCAGTTGCGCTGCAGCGAGTTTTGCTCGGCTACGAGCCCCCAGTGGTGCCGGCCAACACCGAGCCACCAGTGGCGGCTCGTGGTGTTTCTTCCGATTGCCACCGCAGCGCGGCAGCCAGCTTGCCTGTGGCGACGGCTGCAGCGCAGGCCTCGCACCACCGCTCCCCGACCAGTCCCGCTGAGGAAGCGGGGACTGGCGTCAAGGAAGAACCGCTTCCAGCGGAAGCTCCTCTGGCAGAGCCGGGCGATATGGACGTGGAGGAGCCCAGCGGGCGGCGGGATGAAGATGAAGATGACCGAGGCTCCCGCTCGGAAGAGTCGGAGTCCGACAGCGACTCCCCGCCGCCGCCAGCGCAGCGGCCTCCTCCTCTTGAGGGCAAAGTTGCCTGCAAGTCCTCGAGCCCGGCAGTGCCGGCTCCCGCAAAGACCCAAGCGCCAGCGGCGCCTGCCGCTGCCGCTGCAGCCGCTCCGCGCCACCTCAAGCGGCCGCCCCCACCGCCAGTGGTTCGCGTGTTCAGTCTGCGACAACATGCAGATGAACATCTGGAATGATCCTTCGTCAGAGTTCGTGTGCAGTGCATGCGGCGAGCTCCACGCTTTCAAGGCAGCAGTGCATGCCTACGAACAGCCCAGCGCCAGTGGCGCGGTGGGGCAATTTACTCACGACCGCCGCAGTAAGGCCTGGCAGTGTCAAGAATGCGGCGTGATGCATTGCACACGCTGCGCCAAGCGCTACTCCTGCCCAGGCACTGTCCCGCGGACAGACGGCAAGCTCGAGTACAAGGGCGAGCGCCGCCCTACTATAGGGGGCCGCCCGAGTCCCTTCGGTTGACCTTGGAGCGCGAGGCAGCCGAAGCCCGTGAGCGCGAGCACCGCGAACGGGATGCCCGTTGCAGAGACGGCAAGGGCAAGGGCAAAGGCAGGGACCAGCGGTCCCGCCGCGACGATGAGGACCGGGACCAGTGGTCCCGTGGTCGCTGGTCCAGGGATCACGACCGGCGCTGGAACTACCGTGACTGGTAGAGACGCCAGCGGCGTGCACCAGCGCCCTCCGAACAGTGTTCGGATACAGTTTTGAAGGGCCAGTGGTCCTTTCTTCTGCGCCAGTTTCACACAGGTGCAGAGCACAGTAGTGCCGGCACAGTCCGGCCACACAAGCCTCCCGCTGATCACCGGCCTGTCTGCGGATCGCAGAAGGCAGGTGCAGCGCACCTTCACAAACGGGCTCCGCCCAGAGACTCGCACCGCGAGGTTGAGAAAGAACACCGCAGGTTGCGCGTGCACACAGACCTTGTAGGGCTGCAGTTTGCTTTTCCTAGTAGGATTCAACTCAGTTTCCCTTGACCTCGTAGGTCCTCTGGATGTTGCACCTTGGTGCAGTGCCACCAGCGTGGCAGTTAATACTCCAGTGCGTGGTCGCCGCAGCCTTTTAAGCCTCACTTCCCTCCCCGCCTCTCTCTCCCTCCTCTCCTCCCTCAGGACTGCCCGGGGAGGGTGCGGGTCGCAGCGCGTCGCTTGAGTGGTCCCTTACAGAGTCAGTGTGCTTGTATATGTGTGCTGGTAGCCCCTTTCTTGCACGTTGCCTCTACAACAGCCGTTGGCTTGAGCTCCTCTTCCTTGTGTCAAGGATGCTGCCCAGGGGCAGCGCCCCGGAGGGCGACTTCAACGACCAGGTTAGTAACTTCTGGTCGTCAATACCACGCAGAGCTGGTGCTCGTCAGCCGTGGGAATCAGCCTCATGGTTCGCGCATAACGCGAGCTGGCCCTGGGACCTGTCAGTGACACGCCCCGCTTCTGTGGGCCCCGTGCCAGTGCTGCACGAGTCCAGCTTGATGCTCAAGCGGAAAGCTTCCGCTAGCATCCAGCCGCTAGTAGCGGAAGAGATGGCTTTCGCACTTAAGGTGTGTTCCCGTCGTACAGCGTACGAAGGCGATCGCCGCGATAGCGCTGTTTTCAAGCTCACGGCGCTGGTCAAAGCCTGGCCAGACGCCTTCGAGATCGTCTCACAGTGTGCCGACGAGATCGGTCGCGTCGACCTGGACGAGCTCGACTTCAGCATTGAGGCAGCGCTCAGCTACAAGGCTACCAACACAGTCGTGCGCCGCCTTAACTCTCTCAGCAATTTTGTCCAGTGGGCAAACATGCAATCCCCAGTGGTGGAGCCCTTCCCAGTGTCTGAGCGTGCCACTTGGCGCTACATCCAGTGGATGATGCGCAATGGGAAAGGGGCTAGCAGCCCCTCTAGCTTGATTCAGAGCCTGAACTGGTGCTCGGGAGTCCTGGGCTGTCCTTCGAGTCGGAGGTGACCAGCTCCCGTATCGTGGGCCTTTGTAAGAGCACGGAGGCCAGTGCGCCTCCGCCAAGACGGGCTCCTGCCCTTAAGGCCTCAGAGGTGGCCACTCTGGACCGCATCGCGCTGTCTGGGTCCATCTACGACAGTGTTGTGTCTGGGGGCTTGTTGTTCACATGCTTTTTGCATGCGCCCGCGCCAGCGACGCGGCTCGGGTTGTTTCCTTCCCCGTCCAGCTCCCAGAGAACCCCTGCGCCACAGTGTGGATGCAGGCGAGCGTGCAGAAGGCGAAAACCGCCGTCGGGGCTAGAAGCCGCCTGCTGCTACCGCTGGTAGCCCCGGTGGTTTTCTTCGAAGAGTCGTGGGTGAGCCAGTGGCTCGCCAATCGAGAAAAACTGGGTCTGAGCTCCAGCGGGGAAATCCCGCTTGGGTCAGTGATCCCTGCCTTTACATCAGACGGTGATCTAGCCGATCGCCCGATGAACTCTCAAGAAATAACGTCCTGGCTACGCAGCGCGCTGTCCAACGCCCGATGCGAAGGCGCAGAGCGCCTCAGCAGTCACAGTCTCAAGGCGACGTGCCTCACCTGGGCCTCGCAAGCCGGCGTAAACCTGGACCTGCGCAGACTGCTCGCCCACCACGTGCACGACAGTGCTCGGAGCACTGAGACGTACAGCCGCAACGTGCTCATTCCCGCAGCGCGGGCTCTGGAAGAGGTTCTTATCGCCATCAGAGATGGCGACTTTCTTCCCGACCAGCCCCTCGGGAAACAGTTTGCGCTGCCTAGCAGTCAGCTTATAACCTCAGGCGAGAGAACCTTAGCAAGGCTTCTCACAGGAAAACCTCCTCGGGCTCAGCACCCCCAGTGGGGGTGGAAGCCCTAAAGGTCTCGCAACAACAGGAGCTCAGCGACACGGAAGACAGTGCCAGTGACACTGACCGAGAAGACGAGTTCGTCGCCGAGCCCGAGGTCGAGGAGAACCCTCGCCTTCAACGGGAGGTGCAGTGCACTCTCCCAGAATGGGCCTCTTCGTGGTGTCATCTTGCCAGTGGCAAGCTGCACGCGAGCCGCGGTGAGAACGCCAAGAGGCTTCTCTGCGGTCGCTGCTTGAATGAAAAGTATATGAGCTGCGAAGTTCGCAGCCTCGTGCCAGGCCGACCGCACTGCAAGACTTGCTGGAGCAGCAAGTCTTTCGATGCAGAGTGAAAAAGAGAGCGAGAGCATCAGCCAGTCTGTCCTAGTAGGGTCTTGCAGTCTGCACAGTGTTTGCTGTCTCTCTCTCTCTCTCTCTCTCTCTCTCTCTCTCTCTCTCTCTCTCTCTCTCTCTCTCTCTCTCTCTCTCTCTCTCTCTCTCTCTCTCTCTCTCTCTCTCTTCTCATCTTCGCTTGCCCTGCAGGACGATGGCGAACCTCGTCGACAGTGTCGCGGAATTTTCGAGCAGAGCTCAACAACTCCTAGGAGACGCCGAGTCGGCGAAGCTCTTCGCGGCAGACATCCGCACCTTCGGAACGTTAGCGTACAGCGTCGCTGACCAACCAGACCGCATCAGCGATGCGAAGTTTGAAGAACTTCTCAAGAAGGTCTTCTCGGCGGCAGAGCCGTCTCTGGGCACAAAGGCCGCAGCGCGGCGCCTGGCCTTCGAAAGCCTGACCTTCAGCATCCAGGATCTGAAGATGAGAGTCGAGGGTGACAGCGTCACCCCCAAGAGCTTGCCCATGCACGAGCGCGAGGAGCGCCGGGCCGCGCAAGTCGCGCGCCTCAGGGGCGTCGTCATCGAAGGTGACTACGACCCCGCGCACAGCCTTGTCGACAAGGCCGCGCTCATGCTGCAGGACGGCATCGTTCGTTACATCCCACCGTCGCAGTGCGTCAGTCGGGATGCTGAGATCGCCTCAGTGAGGCGTGACAAGGACTTCCTCTCCCTAGAGTCTGGGGAGATCACAGTCAAGAAAAAGGAGCACAGCGTGCACGTGGAGATCGGCAATGAGCTAAAGCTCACGCAGGCCCTGACGCGCAGGGGCCTCGCGCTCGACAGAGTCGGCGTGTTGGACTTTACGATCCACGAGAGACTCGTGCGACAGTTCTTCTCCGTCCTGAACCGGCCAGCGCCGCCGGGGATGGAACGCGGCAACAGTTGGCACGTAGTACGCGCCGACAAAGAACTGTGGACGCTGCTCGCGCGAGAGTGTCGCAAGGGTTGCAAACCGGACAAGGATGGTAAGAGGCCACTAGATTCTCTAGTAGAGAACATGTGGTCCGATCCTATCGTGACGCTGCACCTCCTCCCCTCGCCAGTGGCGGACCGGGGTCGCAAGGGCAAGGGCCGCGGCTTTACGCGCGGCGAGGAAGACCGCAGTCGTAGCACGACCGGCAAAGGCAAGAAAGGCGGCAAGAAAGGCCGCGGAAAGGGCAAGGGCAAGCGGCACGAGAGCGCAGAGCGCTCCAGGCCGCCGAGCATGCCAAAAGAGCTTCGCCACTTGAACAGCGTTTCTAAGTCGGGCAAGCGCCTTTGTTACGGTTTCAACCTGCAGTGCGGGTGCGACCTTGAGACCTCCAACTCCCCCAACCAGTGCGACAGGGGGTTGCACCAATGCATGAGCTGTGGCAGCTCCGAACACGGAGCCGCGGAATGCCCCAAGGACGCGGGGGCCGCCTGACTAGGCCCCTCTGCGCAGCAGCCCTCGGCCACTGAGCCCGAGGCTCCTCCCCCAGCAGCGCAGCGCCCGCCTGCTACAGCGACATGCGCAGGACAGAGCCCTGACCCTCCCACTGCGGCACAGCCGTTGCGACTGCCTGCAAAAAGTAAGCCAGGAAGTGCCGCCGCAGCGCCGCCGCCTCGAGCAGAGCCCGCGGCAGACGCCAGCCCCCCGTCGCTCTTGTTGTCTGAACAGCACAGCGTGCCTGCAGACAATGCCTTGGGCACTGTTTCCCCTGAGACTGCTCAGCGAGCAGCTCCCCGTCCACCACTTTTCGTGGAAGTTTTCTGCGGCCTCGGTCGCCTTAGTAAGGCGGCCGTCGAGAAAGGTTTCTCGAACGTTGCAGTGGATCACAAGACCAAGGCCAAAGGCATCAAGGTCTTGCAGCTCGACCTCTGTACGCAGCTAGGTCGAAACTTGCTGAGAGCAGTGCTCTCACACCAAGACTTGCGATGGGTCCACTGGGCCCCGCCATGCGGCACCTTTAGCAGAGCTAGAGAGATCCCCAGGCCGGGAGCGCCGGGCCCTTTGCGCAGCGAATCCCGCCCAGCGGGCCTTAAAGGCCTGAGCGGAGCCGACGCTGCACGAGTTCGCAGCGCGAACAGCCTAGTTGCCTTCATGGCACAGTGTTGCCACTCCCTGTCTCAGCGAGGCGTTTGCTGGTCCATAGAAAACCCAGCTCGCAGTCTCCTCTGGAGGATGCCCTGCCTCAGAGAGGCCTTGCGGTCAGCCCACACTAGTGGAGTTTGACGCTTGCATGTTTGGCAGCATGCGCCGCAAGCGTACTGCCATCCTCTCGAACCTGGATTGGTTCTCCGGTTTAAGCAGGGACTGCGACGGAGGCCACAAGCATCTGCCCTGGGGCAGAGCCTCAGTGGATGGTTCCACAGTGTGGTCTACCTCTTTAGAAAGTCCTTACACCACTCAGTTGAGTTCCGTATGGGTCTCCCTCGCAGCAGACCAATGCGCAGCAGAACTTCATGCGGCGCCACTCAGCCGCAAGCGTCTGCGACGCCTGCGTTACGAGCCAGACTTCAGTGACAAAGTCACTCTTCAAGGCCCCGCAGCGCGGTGCTTTCGAGGCTGGAAGACCCCGCAGAAGCTACCACAGTCGTGGTCTTGCTTCCCCAAAGGCTCTAGGCTCATCCAGTGGATGGAAGCCTCTCAGAAAGCAATCATCGCCATCCCGCTGCAGCCACTGCACTGGGTGCGCAGAGCGCATCTCATAGATCACCCAGCCAGGGACATTGAGGCAGTGCCTTTATCTCTCAAGCGCGCCATTTCTGCCGAAGTGCATCAGGACACTGTCCTGCTGGCCAAGCGCCGCACACTGGCATCGATGCAGATCTCGAGGACTTGCACAGAGTGTCAAGCCCTCGAGGCCGAGGTACGCTCCTCGATTGACGCTCAGGTGAACAGCGTCACCAAGCCTAAGCAAACAGTGGCTTTAGACAAGCTTCTGAGTGAAATCGACTTCCGAGACAAGTCAGTTGCCAAGCAGGTGCGGGAAGGCTTTCCCCTGCTTGGCTGGATACAGCCCAGTGGGCTGTGGCCAGTGCAGATTCTGCCTCCTTCTCTAGATGAGAAATCGATACTGGAAAACGCCCATAGTATAGGTATGCGCGGCATTCGCAGCGCGCTTCGCCCCTCGCAGGATGGGGTCTCGGACAAGGTCTGGGAAAGCACAATAGAGGAAAGCCAGCAGGGCTGGCTTTCTTTGGAAGACTTTTCGCCAGCCAAACTGCACGAGACGATAGTCTCGTCTCGCTTCGGCGTCGTCCAAAAGGGCAAAGTGCGCCCTATTGATAACTTTAAGAGCAGTCACAGGTGCACAGGGTCATTGCCGCGATCAGAGGCCTCGCTCTCATTGCTTTCATGGAATTGCGGGGGACTTAGTACACTGCAGGATGAGCTGTTCACTTGGCTTGCTTCCACCGATTACCAGATCGTATGCCTTCAAGAGACATGGTTTAAGAGTCACATGGACTACAGCACCAGGGGCTGGCATTGCATCAACTGCGGCGTCGGAGAGAACGCAAAGCGGGGACATGCAGGAGTGATGGTTTTACTGAGGGCCAGCCGGTTTGATCAGCAGAGCATTCGCTTCAATCATGTGGTGGCAGGGAGACTTCTGCACGTGAAGGCCTACGGCAAGGGCATAGGCTGGGTGGAGATAGTCAACATCTACCAGCATGCGTGGGGGCTGCACGGCGAACAGACCACTCTTGAGGCCAAGAGAGCTACACTTTGGGAGCAGATGCGGCTAACGTTGGGTCAGATCCCTCAGAGCAGTGCACTTATCGTTTGTGGCGATTTCAATACCGCGCTTCAGCCCCGGGCTCCATATGTTGGTCGAGGTCTCCCGCGGCAACAGCAGAGTTCGTCAGATGCAGAGGCTTTGGAACACATTCAGAATGATTTTGATTGCATTGCTGCCAACACTTTTCACAGGTCGGGGTCGTACACATATATACATGAGGGATTCGCGAAAGCTCGGCGCTCATTCATTGACTATGTGATGCTCCGCAGACACAAGCACCGCTCCATCACTTCCAACATCATCCGCAATTTTGAGGTGGGATGCTGGCGAGCAGGAGGACGGCATCTACCAGTCCATGTGGTTTTCACGCATCGACCTTACTACTCCAGTAGTCCCAAAACCCCCTGCGCAGAATGGCCGAGCTGGAAGTGCAAGCTACTCGCTCAGCAGGTCAGAGAGCACCCCGAGCTTGTGGAGCAGTTTCAGCAGCAAGTTGCGGCATCCCTAACGGCTGTTACCTCTTACGAGCCCCAGCAGCTGAATGACCTGCTGCTTGAGGCGGGCAAGAAGGTCGGGCGTCTTCGGCGTGCCGACTAGTCTTTCTTTTGGGGGGTGGTCAGCACGGGGAGAGTGCGGGTTTTCTAGAGCTCATGGTGCATGATTTTAGACATGCTCTCTTTGAAGAATTTGTTTAGTGTTGAAGAAAATTTTTCACGTGCGAAGCATGGACTTGTTGAGAATTGTTCTATGGCTGCGCTGCTCCTCAAGGGCGAGAGAAAAATTTTCTTGAGACTGGGGGCTGACATCTGTCTAGCAGGTTCCGAGCCCCTAATCCAGTGCTTTCGATAGAGGTGGGCCCAGCCATGCAGGCCGCTTTGGCCAGAACAACTCAGCTGAGAGACGTTGCCAGCTTGATTTGGGCCTGCCTTTTCTCTGTCGAGCGCCTGCAACTGCTTCGCGTAAGCTGGCAAATCCGTTTTAGCTTCTTCTGTGCCCAGCCTTGATATGAGTGATCTTGCTGCACAGGGCGCAGGTGTTCCGACAGAGCCCGCCGGGCCGATTCATCAGGGGAGAGAGGCGGCTGAACCGTCGGGCTGCCATTTGCCGGTGGGAGAGTCCATGTCTTCTGAAAGCCGCGTGTCCATGTGGCACTTGATTGATGAGCGGCCTCTGCCTAGCGAGGCGGACGACAACATCCCGGAGTCTGAAGATTTAAATTTTCTTCCTGAAGATTCGGCTGCTGATGAGAGTGAGTGGTACAGAGGGATCAGGGACGAGGATCATAGTATCGCTCCCAGTGAGTTTTCGCCTGGACTGGGAGTGGACAGGGAAGATGACGGTGACTGCTTGCGAATCGGCAGAGAGAGCGAGAATCCCTTGCATGAGGTCTCTGATTTTTCGTTTTCCAGATTGGCTGCTCACAGCTCCTTCAAGAGGCTAAGGCTGGAACGACCAAGGCAGGCGTGGGAGAGCCATCCGGCCTTTAACCGGAAGTCGGGTAGCTCTTCACTTCATGCTTGGGCGAGTGCTGCTTTCCTTCCATCCGTTGGTGTGCGAGAGACTTTAAACTTTCCGAAGCCGGAAGAGAGCTACGGAGGGGAAGAGGCAGCCCATGTGCCTTGGACCATTGAGCGACGACTGAAGGGAGTGCGCATTCAGAGGTCGGATGAAGATGAGAGAAATCATGCTCTGAAGAAGCTTAAAGCTGTGGTGCTCCTGGACCCTTTGGCTACGGCTCTGGGTAAAAGCTTAGTGCAGAAAACGGGTGCTCTTGAGACGGAGGAGATCATTGCAGCGAGTTTTAGCGATGCTTTCAGTTCAAAATCGGCTGGTACGCTCACCAAAAGGGCTGGCTCTTTGCAGAGGCTGGTGGTTCAACTTTATAAGCAAGGGGTGGCTTCTCCGTGGCGCATGGAGGAGGCAGACTTGTATTCTGCTTTGACCACATTGCGTGAGGAAGGTTGTGGGGCAACATCACCAGCTCACATGTTGGAGAGTTTACATTTTCTTCATGCCATTGCAAGATTTTTGCATATGGATTTGGAGCTGGTGATCTCTGCTAGATGCAAGGGTGTTGCTCATTCATGCTTTATGTCAAAGGCGCCGTTGGAGCAGCGTGATCCGCTGACATGCTTCCAGGTGCGGCGACTTGAAGAAGCAATGGTGAGAGCTGGCCCGGTTGGTCAATGTATCTTGGGACAGATTTTATTTTGCGTGCATGCCGTTTGTCGCTGGAAGGATTCCCAGAAACTAAAACTTTTGGAGCTGCTGGGCACGGGAGAGAGCCAGATTCTTTTTGGGGATGCTCTGGGAAGCAAGACGTCTTTGAGCAAGGAGGCCAAAACAAAATTTACACCATACGCGGCGCTGGCGCAGGGGCTTACTGAATGCTCTTGGGCGCGCTTGTGGATTGAAGCCAGACGCCAGTGTAGGCTCACGTTCGGTGCTGGACCGGATGGCTTTTGCCTCCCTACAAGGTTTCAGCGACTGGATGAGTGGGGCTCCACGCCTATGGGAGCTGGTGAGGCGTCTTCCTACTTAGCGGAGATTTTGGAAGGCTCTGAATCGGAGGGACAAGTTCTGGGAACACATTCTTTGAAGGTCACCCTGCTTACGTGGGCTTCTCGATCAACAGTGGTGCGCCTGAGCAAAGGAGAACGTCTCCTGTTGGGTCACCATATTGTACCGGGGGTCAAAAGTATGGTGACTTATAGCCGCGAGGCTTATACGAGTTTGATCGGCAAGCTTTTAGCTCTTTACCGCTCGATCCGAAGCGGAGCTTTTCAGCCAGATCTCGCGCCTGCAGACAGAGTGCTACAAGTTGCTGACGCCTTGGCTGCGGCTGAGGAAGGTCAAGGCCTGGGTGCAGGAGCGCGGGATGAGGCGGCCGCAGAGCAGTTGGCTGGGTTTGAGGGCGAGTCGGAGGACTCGGCTGATGATGCTGAGGCCGACGGGCCCTTTGAGCTTCCAGGCCAACCTGCAGTGAGAGTGCCGTTTGCTAATGTCGATGTTTCTCAGTGCCGGATTCATAGTATATCAGGCATTGCGCATTGTCTTCGGGATTCAAGCTTCTTTTACTGTGGTCGTTTGTGCACTTCGAGATACTCCAGATATTCTGGAGTTGGGACTGAAGATCCCGATGTATGCTGCAATGTACGAGAGCCATGAACGAGTGAGGCAGAGGATATGCGCACTTGTGTCTGCAGATGCTATTCCCTTGGCGCCTGGGAGCGGTGCCAGAGAGAGGGGATTCGGAAGAATATGCGTACTTGTCATGCAGATGCTACTGCCCCTGGCGCCTGGGAGCGGTGCCAGAGAGAGGGGATTCGGAAGAATATGCGTACTTGTCATGCAGATGCTACTGCCCCTGGCGCCTGGGAGCGGTGCCAGAGAGAGGGGATTGGGGAGAATATGCGTACTTGTCATGCAGAGGCTACTGCCTTGGCGCCTGGGAGCGGTGCAATATGCGTACTTGTCATGCAGATGCTACTGCCCCTGGCACCTGGAAGCGGTGCCAGAGAGAGGGGAGCTGGGTGAGAGCTCGATTGCAAGTCCAATGGCATCTGGCTCCAGCTTCGAGGCAGTCTTGCTTGAACGCACTAGAGAAACATGTTCATGCGTCATTGAAGTTCTGATGAGGGGATTATCTAGTGCAAGGGGGGGACCTCTGTCAGTTCTTTGTTCGTGAGATCGCGGAATCTGGTCGTGTCATGGCTTCTGCGAACCTTGACTCGGAAGCAGCTTTCTTGGACCGCGCTAGGAAGATCGGACTGTCCGAGGAAACCCTTACAGGACTCTTGAACAACAGCTTCAACACCTTTGGCCGCCTGGCCTTCGCAGTGTCTGCTACACCAACGACCCTCACCGACGAGGCCGTGGACAACTGGATTGATGGATTGGGCATGAGACCGTCTGGTTTTCAGAAAGCCAGCCTCCGTCGGCTCCTTTTCGAAGGAGTGAGCATGGCAATTGAAGAAGTTCGTACCCGCATCGAGCCCGGCGTGGAAGGACATCCTAAGAAGCTGGCAGCGGCGGAACGCTTGGATAGGCAGGCTAGGCAGGAGAGGTCTCTGGGAGGTTTGGTTTTCACTCCTGAAACCCGGCCAGCCAACTCGTGTGTAGACCTGTGCGTGGAAATGCTTGAAACAGGTGTGTTGCAGTATCACGTTCCCAGCAAGTGGATTAGTCGGGCGCAGGAAGCACAGTGCTTGAAGAGGGACAGCAGCATAAACATTGATGCCGACAACAACCTGAAGATTGCAACGAAATCAGCAGATCAGACATGTGACGTTTCATCCGAGATGAGGTTGCGCCAGGCTTGGAGCCGCCGCTCCTTAGCCTTCGATTTGGCGAACCTTGCAAGCTTCAGGGTCATGGAGGAACATGTTCAATTCTTGTTTTCGGTTCTTCAGAGAGCGCAGCCGAAGGGCTTTCAGGGTGTCACGCTTTCGCAAATCATTGAGGCAGATAAGCAGATGTTTATTCTTGCAAGCAACAACCTCATGGGACGTTTAACGGCCTCGCCAGGGGCGGCCCCTGCTTTGGACGCGGAGATCAGTAGACTGTCTAGGAGCCCTGACATCATGCAGTATTTGGCACCCTTGCAGAACCCTGTAATCCCGCATGTACCTTGGACCCCTCCCAAGGGAGATGGCAAAGGCAAGAAGGGAAAGGACAAGGGGAACAAGGGAAAGGTCGCGACAGGTTCAAAGTTAGATTTGCCGGAGGGTTGTGTGACCAAAGATGATGCCAACAAGCCTTTGTGTTTCGCTTATAACACGCACGGTTGCAAGAATACCTGTAAGCAAGGCCGGTGCATAAAGGGCTACCACAAGTGTTGGAAAAAGGGTTGCTTCGGAAATCATCCATACACCAGCTGCCCGAAGGCTGGTGCCTGAAGGTCCCTTCCATTGAGTGCGCCCATCAGTGGAGGGAGCGAAGGGGGCGCATTGCAAACTGGGGACCTGCTGGTCCCTGATGCTGAGGGGTGGTCCAAGGCCCGTTTGAGTAAACCGGGCCAAATCTCAAGTGCTGATCTGTTGACCTTGTTTGATATGCTTCCTCAGGGAAATCTTCAGAAGGGTCAAAGGGACGTGAAACAGTCCTTCGTAACCGGCTAATATTCCCAAGGTGGATTCCGTGGGTTGCGTAAGGAGTGTGCAGAGTTTCCGTATGCAAGTCGTGTCATGACCCGCTTTGTGCAGGAGCGTCTTCCAGGTCATGTTTTCTCCACATGTGGCATTTTTGCAGACAGTCTCACGCCTTTGCATCGTGACGGCCGCAACGCGCAGTGGCCTAATGCAGTTTTTCGCTTGAGTGATTTTAAGGAGGGGGGCTTGTGGATCGAGGGCCCTGGGGACGATGTTCGAGTCTTCAATTCTAAAGAGCTGGTTGGAGCGGTTCACGAAATTGAGGACGAGCCGCTTCTCTTTGACGCTTGGTCTAAATACCACGAAACTGAACCTTGGTCAGGTCGAAGAGTTGTGCTAATCACTTGGGTGGTGCAGCAACTTGAAAAATTAGAACAGAAGGATGTGGAGGCAGCGCACCAATTAAACTTCGTGCTACCTCCTGAGGTGCCGTTGCCTGTGCAAACGGCGCAGCTGGGAGAACGGCCACCCATGGTGTTTGAGGTTTTCGCAGGCAAAGGCTTGTTGTCCCGGGCCCTGATGCAGTGCGGATTCGTTGTCCACAGTTTCGACCAACATCATTGCGATTCTCATGTGCCCATTTCGCAGCTTGATTTGGCAACAGACTCAGGGCAAGCTTTGTTCTGGGAATTTCTTGAGACACAGCGCCCGTTCGCAATACATTTGGGCGCCCCATGCGGGACCAGCAGCAAGGCCAGAGGCAGACCTTTGTACAATGGACAGCCGGGACCCCAACCTCTTAGAAGTAGTGAGTTCCCGCTTGGCCTGCCCTCCTTAAAGCCGGGATCAGTTGAGGCCACTCGTGTAAAGTTGGCAAACCGTTTGTATGCCTTCACATATCGCATTTTGCGATATTGCCTGGAGCGCGACATAGTGGTCAGTCTTGAGAATCCCGCAAATAGTTTCCTATGGGAGGTGTTGCAAGCTTTTGAGCCGCAAGGGGTTGCTCACCGTATCCTTCCCAGACTGCAGTCAATCATCTTTGACTTGTGCTGCCATGGGGGCTTTCGCCCCAAACGCACAAAGTTGCTTGCAACGCCTGGCTGCTTCGAGCCGTTGCGTGCGCTTTGCGATGGAAAGCACATGCACAAACCTTGGGGACAAATTGTTGAGTTTGGATCCATTCGGTATGCCACGAAGGATGAGGCAGCCTACCCAGCATTGTTTGCCTCTCGCTTCGCTTCTTGTGTGGAGCGCAAGGCTTTGTCGCTAGGCCTCAACCTGTGTCGTCGCCCATCCCCTAAGGACCTCTCGTTGGCAATGTTGGGCCGACAAAACAAGCGTCATCAGCCGCTGGTTTCCGAATACCAGTCTGTGATTACTATGCCGGCCGTTGCATTCAAATCACAAAAACACTTCAAGCTCTTGCGCAGCATCGGGGGTGAGGAGCTTCGAGCTTCCACTGATCCCAATCCTAACACCCCTTTGGGAGGGACCATCCCAGAGGCCTCAAAGCCCACCAGTAACACCCCTTTGAGAGGGACCATCTCGGAGGCCAATACCCCGATTAGTTCACGGGATCCAGCTGAGAAGGTTGGTGACCGGGTTAGGGTTGGGGTATACAGGACTCCTGAACAGTTTGTAGAGGAGGCTAAGAAGGTCATTCATCCAGTAGATTCTTCAAACCCGCTTGAGAAAGCCACGTTGTTTGCCTTGAAAGAAAACTTGACTAAAGACCCGAGGCTCATAGTCTTGAAGCGAAACTTGGCGGTGGCTCGAGTGAAGCAGGAGGTGAAGAGATGCAGTGATGCTGAGGCGGAGCTTCACAAGGCCATGCACCCGGCAGTGGCTAAGGTTATGAGCGGCAAATCCATCTTGGCGTTGGAATCTTTACTCAAGTCCGAGGGCTACGACGATCTCGAAGTCATCGGTTTCTTAAAGGAAGGGGTAAGGTTGGTCGGGACTTCCCAATGCCCAGAATGCTTTGATCGTAAGTTTGTCCCCGCTTTCTTGACAGAGACGGAGCTCATGGCCTCAGCGGCCACCAGACGAAAGTCCTTGTTGAGTAAGTTCGAAAGGGTAGACCCGGAGGAGGCCCGGATCTTGAAGGAGGCCACGGATGAGGAAGTGGCCATGGGCTTTTTGGAGGGCCCCTACTATGATCAGAGCCAGATTACGGAATTGTTGGGAACCAACGATTGGACAGTCATCAGAAGGTTTGTTTTGCTTCAGGGGGCAGAGCTAAAACCCAGACCCATAGACAACTGCTTGGAATCCCAATTAAACGCGGGCTACAGCTCCAGCATTCACCTGCGGTTGCAAGATTCGGACTACATCTCAGCCATGGCCCTCCACGTAGCGAGGGAAGTGAGCGAAGGCCGAGCGCACAAGGATGCATCGGAGTGGAAGGGCAAAACCCTTGACCTCAGTAAAGCGTACAAACAACTTGCTATCCATCCGAGCCACCGACCTCTTTCAGTGATTGCAGTTAGGCAATCGGATGGAAAGGATGCCCTATATGTTTCGGACTCACTGATGTTCGGCAGTACTGCAGCGGTTTATGCCTTCAATAGGGTTTCTAGAGCCTTGTGGTTTCTCTTGAACAAACTTCTATGTATACCAGCTGCCGTCTTCTTTGATGACTATCCTCTGATGTCGCCGGCAGGAAGTGCGGACAACGCCGACACCGCGGCGAGTGCGTTCTTGGACGCCCTAGGTTGGCGTCACGCCAAGACGGGCGCGAAAGGACGACCCTTTGCATCGGACTTCGACGTCCTTGGTATGCATTTGGGTTTAGGTGATCTTGCTAAGGGTACTGTAGTCTTAGCCAACAAACAGGGCAGGATAGAGAGGATTGTTGACCGTCTTCAGGAGATCAGCTTGAAAGGAGAAATCCGACGACACGAGGCTCAGGTCATCCAAGGCCTGTTGCAGTACGCCTCGGGCTTTTACGCAGGCCGATCGCTGAAGCATGCGTCGCACATTCTTGCGAGGATTGTTGGGGGTCTGCACTTTAGTCCTAGGGACCTTAGTGACTTTTGCAAACACACCGTTTCTTTGCTGAAGCACGAGAACCCTAGAGTCTTGAGCTGTGCGATGATAACTGACATCATCCATCTTTGGACCGACGGATCGTGGGAAGCTGATGTTGGAGGCATTGGTCTAGCCGCCCATGATTGCTTCAGTGGAACGGGCTGGGTCTTCACAGGAAAGGTCCCGTCGCAGTTGCTTGAATCTTGGAAAGCAGAGGTAGGAGAGCAGCTCATCTGCGAGATCGAGATGTTTGCTGTGCTAGCTTCCCTGCTGCAGCTGAATGCTCTTGTGTCGTCTCGCCGCATAGTGTGGTGGGTGGACAACGATGCAACCAGAGGTGTCATGATCAAGGGCGCCAGCCGCAGTTGGGCCATGCACACTTTAGCCCGAGTGTTCTCTGAGCTCGACAGAGAATGGCCATCCATGTGGTGGGTTTGCAGAGTCCCATCCTACTCCAATCCGGGGGATGCGCCGTCGAGAGACCAAGGAGAGGAGTCTTTGGTGACGGTCGGAGCATCTTGTGTGCAACCCTTCTCGAGACTTGAAGAGCTTGTTGGAAGAATCCAGGCCTTCAACCGAGCGTGAGATGATCTGGGGTTTGGGGCTCGCTTGAAGGCCACAGTGAGAGTGGCCGGGAGACTTCAAACCTTTTTGGTGCAGCAGCGCAGCCTCGTGAGACCCCAGATCGCTTGAAAGAAGAAAGGACCGATCCCTTTTCAAATATGTATATTGTGATTGGAAGATTTCATAATTTATAGACCTCTAAGAGGTCAACATATTTGCTGAGACATATTGACATTTATGTTATAGTATGAATGGGGCTATAAGATTTTCCCCCGGTGAGAACGAAGAAGATTTATAGGAGCTTGAAAACCACCACACCACAAAGAAGGGCGTCTTCGGCGTGCCGACTAGTCTTTCTTTTGGGGGGTGGTCAGCACGGGGAGAGTGCGGGTTTTCTAGAGCTCATGGTGCATGATTTTATACATGCTCTCTTTGAAGAATTTGTTTAGTGTTGAAGAAAATTTTTCACGTGCGAAGCATGGACTTGTTGAGAATTGTTCTATGGCTGCGCTGCTCCTCAAGGGCGAGAGAAAAATTTTCTTGCCCTCCCAGCCCACCCGGGTTTGGGGCTCGCTTGAAGGCCACAGTGAGAGTGGCCGGGAGACTTCAAACCTTTTTGGTGCAGCAGCGCAGCCTCGTGAGACCCCAGATCGCTTGAAAGAAGAAAGGACCGATCCCTTTTCAAATATGTATATTGTGATTGGAAGATTTCATAATTTATAGACCTCTAAGAGGTCAACATATTTGCTGAGACATATTGACATTTATGTTATAGTATGAATGGGGCTATAAGATTTTCCCCCGGTGAGAACGAAGAAGATTTATAGGAGCTTGAAAACCACCACACCACAAAGAATTCACGATCCGGAGGCCCCCGAGCTTGCCTGCTCCAGCCGAGGACCCAGCACATGTCGTTACCATCAAGACCATGTGGGGGCACTACAGGGAGATGCGCAAGGCGCAGATGGATCGCTCCGGCAGTGGGAGAGCTACGCTGCGAGGAGCCATTCAGGCTTGGCGACATTGGATGCAGTTTCAACGCATGCATCGGCAGGTCCAGAAACACAGTCGTCGTCTACGACGGCAGCGGTTCGAACGACTCCTGGCTGAGGCGCAGGCCCACGAACGCTCGGGATGCAGTTCGGCGATCTTCGACTTATTGCGTAGGCATGCACCAAAGCAAGCCCGAAGACGTGCGCAGCTGCGAGATGCGAGCGGCAAGCTCATGACTCCAGCAGAAGAAGCACAGGCACTGCTCACCTTTTGGCAAAGTGTCAATGGTGGAACCAGGCACAGTGGGGGCGAGCCCACCAACTACACGTTCCATATCACATGCGAGGAACTCAGGGATGCTCTTCAGCGGTTGCAGGGTAACAAAGCTGCTCCCAAACATTGTGCTCCACACGTTTTCTGGAACATGGCTTCGGAACACATTGCCAAGTTCATGAGCGAGCAGGCGTTCCAGGATTGGCAGCAGGGCGGTGCTCGCGTACATCAGGACTGGGCTTCGGCATGGCTGGTGTTCCTAGGAAAAGCAGGCAAAATCGGGGATTCTCCCGCGCATCTCAGGCCTATTGCGCTGCTCGAGCCCATGGGCAAAGCGGTTGCCGGCATCTTGAAGGATCGTTTGATGCCGTATGTACAACCCTGGACTGCACAGCAGCACCTGCATGGCTATCTTCCACATCGTTCTCCTCTTCAGGCTCTCTGTGTGGTCTTCGCACACTGTCGTGACGTGAGAGCGGCTGCGCAGGCGCAAGGCCGCTCACTTTACGACCTACGAGCAGGACACAAGCGAGGCTCGTGCGCCGGCGGTCTACAGCTCAGTATAGATTGTACTCAAGCATTTGACAGAATCAGCCGCGACCTACTGCAGCGAGCACTGGAGATGATGGAGGTTCCCGCCGATTTAATCGGCATCATCATGCAGTGGGTCCATTCAACCCGGTTCCACATAGGCGGACGGCCAGATGAAGTACAATATGGCTCCGACAAAGGCATCAGGCAGGGCTGTAAGCTCTCGCCGACGCTCTGGGTCTGCGTCTCGGTATACTTGCTTAGACACATTGACAACGCCCTGGGGCTGAACTGGTGCCAACAGCACGGAGTAGGATTTGCGGATGATTTGCACTTCAGGTGGAGGTTTGAGGATGTGGCTGGCATGCAGCTAGCACTCAAACAGGCGGGCACTGTCTTACAGCTCCTTACTGACTGCGGGCTCATCATTAGCAAGGAGAAAACCGTTTGCCTGCTAAGGGCAGATGGGGTTCAGGCACCGAATGCCATCAAGAAGGTGGTACGCAAGACCAAACAAGGCAAGCTGCTTAAACTCGATGTGAACTGGGAAATGCCGCTCAAGAAGTCGCATATTTATCTAGGGGCCTGCATTTCCTACGAGAACTTCGAGTCACAGAACATGCAGCATCGACTTCAGGCATGCCGTGCAGCTTTCAGCCGCTTACGTACCACGCTCATGGCGCACAGGGCCCTCAACATGCATCGACGGCTACAACTGTGGAAGGCGACAGTGGTGACCTCAGCTATGTACTCACTTCTGGCCTCGGGTTTTACTGCAAAGACCTTGGATCAGTTTCGGGTTGTGCTCACGCGGCAAGCCCGCGCCATTGCTCGCAGCCCAGTTCACTTGGACCTAGAGAACAATGATAAGTTCTGGCGGCGGATAGGCATCATGGCGCCAGTGGACATGATTCTGCAACGGCTCGAACGAGCCGTCACCGTCACCAACACCTTGAAGGCCAAGTTGAGGGAAGACGATGCCAGGGTATCCAGTATCATCCTCGATCGCGAACAGGCTGTTCTTGCTCAGACCCGGGAGATCTTGACCGAGGCCCAAAAGGCCACAGGCGATGCGGAGGACAGCCTGACACATGTATGTCAGGAGTGCGGCGCTAAGTTTGGCACATGGGCAGCTCTGCGTGCGCACGCGGGCAAGCTTCACAGTCAGGCCCGACGAAAGGAAGCCACGGAGCAAACACCCGACTTTGATCAGCAGCGGCACGGGAAGGACGGCATGCCCATTTGCTCGCAGTGCAATCATCGCTTCCCACGATGGGCGGACCTCCGCAAACACATTGAGGGCGGCCACTGTCAGGCAACATCCACCACCGCACCGGCGACGGCATCGGGCTCGGGCACAGAAAAGGACTCAGTCATGCAATTGGTCAGGGCAGGGCAGCTCGATGTGCAAACCTTGCGATCGGAGGCAGTCACGGCGGATTTGCGCACGGAGCTCATGCAGCATTGTGCGCTTTGCAGGCAGTGGCATCACGACCACAAATATCTTAAGCGACACTGGCAGCGCTCGCACACGGCAGAATGGGAGCTGCATTCAGCTCCTACTTTTCAGTGGCGCAGGCAGCATGTCGCAAAGATCAAGGTGACGTGTGAGTGGTGTGGAGCACAGGTCCCGAGCAAAGCAGAGCACAGGGACACTTGCCCTGTCTTGTTTCAGCTCTCCATGATAAGGTCCATCCACGTGAGCGGTGAGAACAATGTACCCAGCCAAGCCAGTGCACCTGCAATTATTCCATTTCCTCCAGAGGCAGAGATTAAAAGATGGCACGGAGCTTGTCAGTTGTGCGGACTAACATGTACATCGCGATCCTTGCAGAAACACTTTGCGACGGTGCATGCTGAGTCCTGGAGTATGTTGGGGCCACGGGTCAAACAGCTGTGTAGTCAGTGGACCAGTGGTCTGGGCAGTAAATGTCAATTCTGTCTAGGTGGCTACGGCAAGAAGGTCAAACATGCCAATAGCTGCTCTGAACTTCTACAGAATGCGTTGTACAATGTAAATCGGCCTCGACTAACACACGAAGCTGGAGCCACTTTCCCAGCCCATCATGTCGGAGGAGTTGGCCACGGCGGCCATGCAGTTCCAGGAAGTGTTCGGTCCGGTGTTGGGGAAGCGGTTGCTGCAGGAGGAGCCGAAGGAGCAGGACAGACCGAGCAAGCAGAACAAGCCGGGACCCAAGGGGCCCAAAGGCAAAGGCAAGGGCAAAGGAGTGGGAAAGCAGCAGCGAAGGCCACAGCACCAATCCAACAGCTGGAACAATGGGTACAACGGGGACATAGACTGTGGACGCCATCCAACTGATGGCCAGGATGATGGTGAGACAGGAGGATGTCCTGCACGTCCTCAGGCAATCAACCGGCTGGGTGTGGTGGCTGAGCATATCCACACCAACCATAGTCCCGGATCTATTCCAGGCGGCACAGGTGTGGAGGAAGGAGGTGTCACAACCAGACAGCAAGATGGCCAACACCAGTCTCCGATCGGCGCTGTTCTGGTGTCTGCTGCACCAGCTGGCGGCGACATTGGGGAACATGGACCAGACACAACTGGCGGAGGCGAACAAGCAAGGATGGATCACGACGGAGGGCAGATGGGTCTACCAAACCTGGTCGGCCGAAAAACAGCAACTCATGGTGGACGAAACCAAACCGGGCATGACCACTCAGGAAGTAGTCCATCTGTTGAACGACATGCAGGGCTTGGTGAGCGGCGACACTGTATCGCGCTTTCATTCAACGAGGCCACTGGTGGAACAGATGTCGGGACACATGCTTACCATGGTCATGGACATCTCATTCCGCAAAGCATCAGCGAATGCGCTCTACAGCAAGCTGGAGAAACTTCAAGGAAGTGCGGCACTACAGGTGTGCGGCGTTCAGTTTCGCAAGGAAGGCTTCAAGCGCTCTCCGGGAGCGCAGAGGCTGCTGGAGCTCGTGGCCTAGTCCGCACCCTGGTTTTACGGAATCCTAGCAATTACTGCTACATCAACACTGTGGTTCGAGGTCTTCTCTGGTCGCTTACCTCACTCGAGCAGTGGGCAACAGTCTTCCCGAGGACCGGAAAAGAAGCACTCAGCTTAGTCTTGAACCATCAGCAGCGAGCCCTCTTGATCATTGGCATTCCTATGTGGAGGCTGCTGCTACACGACTGGGGGTGCCCACATATGCAGCACGACGCGTCGGAGTTCCTGTCTTTCCTGCTGTGTAAGCTCGGTACCACACGACTCACATGCCAATGGGAAGCCCGGACAACCACAGATGAGCGCTGCCAGGTTGTGGACAGGGGCGATTGCGTGCAAGCAATCACATTGGATTTGCCTAGGGAGGTCGGGACACATACCATGCAATATCTACTCCATCATTGGCATGCGCAAGCGGGTGTTCATGCGCTGACTAATGCGGGCCCACTGCTTTTCTTTAGACTAGCCAGGTATGCGACAGTGGATGGCCACACAATCAGGCGCAGCGATGTGGTCACATGGTCCGAACGATTGCACATCCCGGTCTTCGATGGCCAGGGGCAGACCACGGCGGTTCATGAGTACGCAGTGCAGGCCGTGATTTTACACCACGGCGATTCCTTGCGGCACGGACATTACACTCTGCTCATGCATGCTTCAGATACGGATTTTCACAGTGATGACGGAGTACAACCACAGCAGCAGCCCAAGCCACGGAGTCGTATACACACGTCACAGGATGCATACATGTTCTTCTGCAGGAGGTTGGATCCTGGGGGAGATGAGTGATGATCAGGGGCAGGGGCACACTGCTCCATTAGGCTGCAACTTGTACAGTGTTGCAGTGGTGAGGAGCAGCTCGAGGGGGACCTTTTGCTTTATTATGCTTTTACACACATACAGTACTGGCGACTGGATGCAAAACATTTGTACAGATCGCATACCAACGTTACGCATGTTCGGTGACCAGCTGTGCCATGCTTTGACACTGTCGCTCATCATGCTTTCATGCTTACGTTGTGCTCTTCATGCCTGATCGCTCCAATTATTCTCGAATCGCAGTTTCACGAAATTTTCAGGCACGTCCCTGGTAAAGATGTTCCATGGCTACAGCCTGTGAGGACTCGCAGGGCTGTCCAGAGGATGTGACCATGCAGGTGTTACGACTTCATGCCCCGTGGTTTGAGGAGGTACTTACACCGGCGATGTATTATCACGACCCTCGCCCAGACGACGACATGCCCGATGACGACGCCGCCGTCATCGACTCTTCTATGCATGGCAGCTCAAGTCAGGTTTCTCTGACCTTCGATTGTTCATGCCGCTCTGACGGGTTTGAGTTTGATTCTGAACTGGTGCATACTTTGACAGCTGCTTTCAATGACATGGGGGAGCGGGCCAACCAGCTGGCGTACACCTGTCTGCATACAGGGTTCGTTACCTTTAGTCAGTTGCAGCAGCTCAGCCTTTTACTGCCGATCGATGCGAAACCGCGCAAGCACATTTTGGACAGCTGTCACAACGACTCGCACTGCCAGGAGACCCGTTGCTTCACAGCAGGTGCCTACATCTTTGGTGGAGAAGCGGGGATCCGTACAAGCATGCGTACCTTCTTCTGGGTGACGAGACTACTCTGCTGTATAGTCAAATCTGCTGCGGGTTCGAGGCCCTTTACTACTGTCACACTCTCGCTGAACCAGCAGTCTGGGGTTCATGTGGATGCGCACAACAGCCGGACTTATCACAACATCGTGATTCCAGCCGGCTATTGGGACGCTGGCGAACTCTGGGTCTACAATGACAATGGTTGCAACGCGTTTCCAGGTACAGAGCTGCAAGGCGATGTAGTGCCTGTTAGGCATCCTTATACCATGCTGGATGCTACGCAACCGCATGCAGTGTTTGACTGGACGGGGGAGAGGACGGTCGTCATTGGTTTTCACATCCGAGATGCATGGAGACTTCAGAAGGATGATCTCGCATTGCTTGCTGATGCTGGCTTTCATGTCCGAACCTGTGAGCGCGTAACTGACCCGTACATGTCGGTCATTGAGGTACAGTGACTGCTGTCTTACTCTGCTGCTGAAGCGGTAGCTGTCTGCACCAGGAGTTTGGCTTCCCAGTAGTTTGCCTGTAGCCGAGTTTTTGTTTCTTACCAAAGAGGGGCTCCTGCTTGCACAAATGCACCAGAGCTGCCGGAGCCGACTCTCTCTCTCGCCTCGAAGTTTTGACGAACCTTTTGTACTTTGAGTTCTAGTGTAGTGGGAACCGTGCACTTGTCGCTAGGGCATACGTGCCGGACTTGTTGAGCACTGTCTAACAGTGCTAGGGGCCACGCGTCCACAGAGACGCCAGGTTGCGAAGACCTGTAGTGCCTGAGCTAGGCGACCTTCGAGGACGCTGCTGGTGAAAAAGCTTTATCAACAGCTGCTGCGGTACTACAGAGAAGGTTCAAGTCGACAGCATCGACGAGCTCCTGGCCGTGTGCCTAGAATGGCTGCGCCAGGGTGTGCCCGCAGAGCAGGCCCACCGCATCGTAGGTAGGACCTGGGACCTTAAGAGTGCCTACAAGCAGCTTGCAGTGCAGGCTGCACACAAGAAATTTGCGTGCATCGTAATGGTGGACCCACAGAGTGGGAAGGTTAAAATCGCCCACCTGCATAGCATGCCTTTCGGCGCAGTGGCCGCCGTGCATGCTTTCCTCCGCTGCAGCGAAGCGCTGAAAGCCATCGGCCGCGAGAAGCTTGCTCTGGTGATGACGAGCTTCTTCGATGATTTCACAGTTCTCACGCGCAGCGCGCACGCGAAGCTCGTCACCTTGGCAGTGTCCAACCTCTTTATAACAAGCTGGGCTGGCAAGTGGCCACAGAGCCCAAGAAGAACGCCGACTTCAGCGAAGTCTTCGACGTGCTGGGCGTGCGAGTCGACTTGTCCAAACAGCACCTTGGAGAGATCTCCGTCAGCAACAAGCCGACCCGGGCAGCAGAGCTGGGTATGGTCCTCAGCGAGGCCCTCACGCGTGGGAGCATGTCACCGTTGGAAGTGCAGAGCCTGCGCGGCCGGCTCATCTTTGCGGAGCAGCAGGCCTGGGGCCGCAATACCCGCATGGCAGTGATCTGCGTCGGCGACGTCCTCGGGGACGGACCAGAGCAAGTCCCCCTCACAGAGCAGCAGTGCCTAGCCATTGCCTTCCTACTGCAACGAGTCGTGCACGGACCGCCCAGGACAGTGTCCATCCATGCGCGCAGAAAGGTGCACCTGTATATCGACGGGGCCTGCGAGTGGGAGACCCCGAGACTGGTGCCCAAGTGTGGCCTCGGAGCAGTGCTCATTGGAGAAGGCATCGCCTTCACCTGGGGCTTGCAGATTAGCAGCCATGTGGCAGCACAGTGGGTTGCCAGGGCACAGAAACAGCAACTGGTCTATGAGTGCGAGCTGTTGCCCTATCTACTCAGCCTTCAGCTGTGGGCGAAGCACATAGCAGGCAGCGACCTGTTCGTCTGGATAGACAATGACGCAGCGCGTACCTCTCTGCACAAAGCCTTCACACGGAAAGTCGAAGGCGCAGCGATAGTTTCGCAAGCAGTGGACTTCGAAGAGTCCCTGCAATGCAGGGCTGCTTTCTTTAGAGTCCCGACAGACAGCAACATCGCTGATGGCCCCAGCAGAGACTGGTGGGAAGAGACCCAGAGGCTTGGCGCAGCGCGCCAATACCTTCCGCCCAACGCAGTGCCGTTGGCTTTGTCACTCGGCGCGGGCTGAATGGGGGGTGAGTAAGGCTTCGAGTGCCTTCAAGGGGGGTGAACCAGTCGTTCGCCTTACCATCGACCAGCGGTCGAATTTTTCCGTCAAAGATGCCAGTGGCATCGTTTCTTCAGTGCCCGAAGATCGGGCCCGAACTGACCCCCCATGTCCGCTAGGAGAAAAAGAGAGAGTGCTTTGCACAGGGTTCCTCTGCAGCGCAGTTAGGGTTTCCCAAACGCGCGCTAACGGAAGTTTCGTTGGAAAATAAGCATCCATCATGCGTGCGTGAATGGGTTTTATTTTCCGCCGAAAGTGTAGACAAAGTTTGTCGAAAAAGGAAAACAGTGTTTTCACTTGTGTGTGAGTTACACTAGACAAACTTTGCCGTGCAGCTTTCGGCTTGGAGTTGGATCTGTGATCCAAAAGTTTTTATCCCACCCACCACACCCTGTATAGTATGCGGGGTCTGGGACACCGCATAAGCAGCAGAGCTGCCAGGGGCAGCGCCCCTATGCTATCTCGAGTAGAGAGGCGTCAGCACAGAGTGCGCTTTTGTACATATGCCGTAGGCTGTCATGACTACAGCGTAGCAACTGGTAGCTGCAGTGACCCAGTAGGTCAGAGAATGTTTCACCTTATTGTCCCGTTGTACGGGTTACTCCCTTGTAGGGGGGGTGAACCAGTCGTTCGCCTTACCATCGACCAGCGGTCGAATTTTTCCGTCAAGATGCCAGTGGCATCGTTTCTTCAGTGCCCGAAGATCGGGCCCGAACTGACCCCCCATGTCCGCTAGGAGAAAAAGAGAGAGTGCTTTGCACAGGGTTCCTCTGCAGCGCAGTTAGGGTTTCCCAAACGCGCGCTAACGGAAGTTTCGTTGGAAAATAACACGTACGTGTTTGTGCTGTGCGTTTGAAGAGTGGCTGTAGGAGTAGGAGAGGGGCACTGGCCCGAAACAAGAAAAGAAGCAAGACCTCGAAAGAAGAAAGCGGAACGGCTACGGGGCAGCCATAACTAGAAGTAGAGGCTTGCGCATGTCAGTTTCACATGTTCGCACATGCATGTTTTTGCAGTTGACATATGCTTGTCTCAAAGATGCCAAGCATGTCGGAGAAGCCATTTACACGACGAAACCGCGAATGGCTCAAGTACGAGAAAAGGCCGTGGGCCGAGTGAGGGGTTTTTGGTCTGTTGAGGGTTAGTTCAGGGTGTCCCGTCGGTGCGAGTGTCGCGGCTTGTGCA